TTACTTCAGAATTTTGAGAGAATGGCATTTGCTTACAGAATGGCAATGTAGTGCTCTTTTGACTGCCAGACATCCTGTGAATAATGCAAACATATTTAGAGCCCATTTCTTTTGTTTGGAAGCTTCACTACACATTGCCATCTGTCCATTCCTTCTCTTTATGGGAAATACATTAAAAAATTAGCACTGTACTGTACTTCCATTTCTGTAAAAAGAAACCTTCACAAACATCCATGTACATTTACATTTTCATACAAAAGTGTAACACTAGTATACTGCTATTAAACCACAGTGGTTCTGGAACAGTTCACAATAATAATATCAAACTCATAAGTCAATCGTTCTGCCAAAACTCAGATTTTAGGCGCAGTACCAAAATGCATTTCATTAAAATAAATCACAGTATCATGATAACATGCAAAAATGAAACTCCATAAATTTGGTACAAGATAATGTTCTACAGTGAATTGTTAGGTCTCCCAAGACAGAAATCTGAAGATACCAAACTCTCTTTCTCTTGTGCTCCTACCTCTTGCTTTGGAGTAATACGCAGGTAATTTCTGCTGCAACTTGTTTTCCAGATGTACAGGTAGTCCTTGATTTATGACCACAATTGGAACTTCCATCACTAAAAAAGGGGGTTGTTAATTGAATTGTGCTTGATTATATGATTTTTTTTGCCATGGTCATTAAGCAAATCATTGAAATTGTTAAGTGAACCATGCAGTAGTTAAGTGAAACTGGCTTGCCCTAATCTGGCTTTGCTTGTCAGAAGCCAGTTGGGAAGATTGCAAATGGTGATCATGTGACCCTGGGATGCTGCAACCTCTGTAAATACATGCCGGTTGCCAATCAACCAAATTTTTACTACATGAGCACCGGGACATAAGTTATATGTCAGGTTATACGTCAGGTTATAAGTCTGAGGACTAGTCATGACTCACTTTTTTCAGCACCATCATAATTTTGAATGGTTGCTATGATCATATGTCAAGGATTATCTGTACCTCACTGATACCATTCCCTAATCTGAGTTTATGAGAGGTAAGACTCTCACACACTGCGCTGCCTTTCTGAAGATTAAACAATCAGAAAGCAAAAATTTAAATACATTTCAATTTTGCCAACTGCTGGCCATGTAGCACAGATGCCTAGAGATTAGATGATTCAACTTTTCTTCTCTACCGCAATGTTCCATCTGCAAAATAAAGAATGCCGTCCAAAGTAGTAATTACTATGGGCAAACAACTGCTAGGTTTTATCCTCCCACTATCTAGATTTACACATTATGCTAAGTCATGACTTCTTCTGACCCTGAGTTGAATAACCCCCAGTTTTAAACCATAACTGGAAAGCTACCATGCTAAGCTTTACATGCTAAGACCAAAACAAAATACAATTCTTTGCAATCTAATTCCATGTAATTAATTAATAATACAAACTCCACCAAGTGGAATGGAGTTTGCCTTTTAGAAAGAATGCTTAAGAGTGCAGTTCTTTTTAGACCAGAATTGGCCCAGATTCAAATTGCTAAACTGCTATAAACTCACTGACTCTGGATCACTTACCATACTTATCCTATAAGTGGAAAATTCTCTAGAATTCCTCAGAGGAAAACTGAAATATAAAATAATTGTAACACCTGAATGGGAGCTATTGTGGCACATTTGGTTATCTATGTATATCAGTGATCCCTAACCTTTACGGCTTGGCGGCCTGGCTGGGGGGAGAAAAGGGAACTGGACTGCGCAAGTGGTGGCCCGCCATGCACACATATGTGCTGGCCTGTGCTTGTGCAAATTGAGTTGCGTGCATGCCAGCCCGCCACTTGTGGAAGTCAACCTGCGCGCATGCACACCAGTCTGCCACTTGCATGTTGAGCTGCACCTGTGCGCCAGCCAGCCAGTCACCCGGCCCAGTTCCAACAGGCCACAGCCAGGTAATGGGCTGTGGCTCGGGGGTTGAGGACCCCTGATGTAGATGTTCGAATTGCTAAGCATGCATCAATGAAAATAGGTTTCGTTAAAATTATTGTAAAAGTTATTTGGTGCAGAGCTGTGGGTTTTATTTTTTCCAGAAAAGAGTCAAAGTGAATGTAAATTCATTAGGTCTATGGAAAGCAGCACTACATCGTCCACTGTAAGTGGCAATCCATACAGCATTTCTTTTTAAGTAATTATAATGGAGCAAGCCTTTTTCTTGTGTGTAACTAGTAAATGTCAATTGTCATTTTCTTTTTTTACCAAAAGTGATTTAAGCTTTTAGAAGACCATCACAAAATGCATAAAACTATAGTATGCTGTACTGTTGGTAGAACAGCCTGTAACATCATTTTATCCAGGGCTGACTTCTGAAAAATATATTCTGGTATAATAAATTGAATACATCAAGTTCAGTAAGAAGACAACAATAGGTCGGGACCCTTTCAGGACTCATTGGAGTCTTAACTTGGGAGGCCTAAATCACTTGCAACCTTTTGAATTATATAGGCCTTTTACACTTGGGAAAGAAAGATAATAATCACTTATCATGGATAAAGTACCCTATGTATAACACACTGTTCACCTTGCTTGACAGTTTCATACTATAGTGGCATAAGGAGGACTCCAGGGACACAGTCCAGTTACTGCAAACTTGTGTCACTATAATAATTAAGGACCAGTGTTAGCACACACAAAGGACAGTGAGTTCTAGCCAATGAGTGAACAAAAGAATGTTAATTTTACAGTCAACCATTCCATCAAGTATGAACACTTGTTTCTGCTCATGAATTCTGTCATTATTTAGCCATTTCTCATTTATTTATTTATTTATTTATTATTTGGATTTATATCCCGCCCTTCTCCTCGTAGGACTCAGGGCGGCTGACAATCAATTAAAATACATAAATAACAATACAAATTTAAAATTAATTAAAAGAGATATTTAAATAATTGTCAAATTTAAAATATAATTAAAACCCCTCTAAAAATTACCCTAGGCCAGTCCTGCAAGCTGGAATAACCAAGTCTTGAGGGCGCGGCGAAAGGAAGGGAGATCAGGGATGACCCTGATCTCTGGGGGCAGTTCATTCCAGAGGGTGGGAGCTCCCACAGAGAAGGCCCTCCCCCTTGGGGTCGCCAGCCGGCACTCTATTTTCCCTTCATATTACTTTATGAGTCATTTATTTATTTATCAGCAAGACTAGAACACAATCATGTACATCTAATAATTCATATTGAATAGCAGTCCTCCCAATATATTATCAATGTCACCTTGATGTACTAGGATAGTAGATCTGATTTGTACTAAAGGAAACTGTTAGTTTCTACTCTTGTTCACTCTGCAATTGAGACTTTGCAGGATTAGGGAATAGTTGTTAGTCACCTAATATGTCTTCTCTCAGATACTACCTATAATATGGCCACAACTGAATGAAAATGGCAAACAATGTAAACATTTATTTTATTTATTTTATTTATATTTGAATTTATATCCCGCCCTTCTCCCGTAGGACTCAGGGCGGGATGATTCTGTTATGCTTCAGATGATAGCACATGCCTGCAGTCTAATGAAGATCTATGCTTATAAACATATTGATTGGGAGCTGCCCAGAATTGGCAGAAAGAAGGACAGTTCTATAAATGTTTTAAATAAATAAACCTCAATAAAAGAAATCAATTGCATCTGACAATAAAAATATTACTCAAAAGTGATGATAATTGATAGCTGGGGGAAGGGGGGAAACCAAGGTTTATTCCATAGTGTATAAGAGAGATGAGCAAATCACAGGATCATTAAAAGAAAAGGGTAGTTAGAGGTATTGTTGAATTGCTTTAATGAGAACTCTCTTGATATTAGTGGAGAGCTAATTTTATGAATTGGGAAACTGCAATGTTGTATTACTGCATAGAAATGTTAATGTGCTCAATAGGTAGCCAGAAATAGGTAAGATTTGGGAGGCTCAGATGCAGTGACTCATTTAACACTTAATTTATATCTTAAGTTTACAAATAACTGAGAAGCAGTAACAAATATGACTATTAGTACAAGCAACTATTTTTGTAGATTCCATGGCCATTGGCCACAGTGCCACTCTTCAAAATCTATACCAGATCCCATTGGGTGTAAGGAAACAGCTAATTCCTAGGATATCAACATAGACACTGGTTCACTTATGCAATAAAAAAACCCTTAATCTTCTTTAGAAATCAATTCCAAAACCTTTTTTTTACAAAATTAGTTTTATACTTGGAACTGACAAAGTCAAAACATTTCAAAGCCTGTATAGAGAGAGCTTTTTCTTTCCAGAGCACAAGCATAACTATCCTTAGAACATCTGAGATAACAACTGATAACATTCACTTTTTATTTACTACAGTATTTTCACACACCTGGAAAAAAATTATAGCTAATTTTCCTTTCAGTTATTCATGATGTTATCTATTTTAAACCTTTGTCGGTACGCCCACATGTGTATAAGAAGAGTAATGCAATACAATGCTTGACTGAGAACAGAAGAATAGTTGCAGAGAGCGCTGGTCTTCTAGGAACTTTTTTTTTTTTTTTTAAATAGAGAATGAAAGAAGAAAGAGTATTAAAATACCAGACAGCAGCCTTAATTTCATTTGTGAAACACCAAAGGACCTAAAACACTGCAATTCTTTTCAGGAAAACGTATAGCTTAGCACAATTCGTCTTAACCACTGAAGAAAAAATACCAACCCAACTCTGGTTATTTTCATTGTGGCTCTGCTTGATCTTTAAGATGAAATTCAGAGTTTTACGACTGCCTCTTCTCTGCTTCTTGCCACTGCTCGGGACATTTTATCTTGGTGAGAATCTGATGGTGCTTGAAAAGGGCAAGAGAAAGCAAAACGAAAGAGGAGAACGAGACAGCGAGCAGAATAAGGGACTCGACCACTGATGCTAAGCCAAGCCAAGCCAAGCCGTTTTCAGGCTGAGGGTTGGTGTTCCCGCCCGGCCCCTTTTGAGTGGTGCACCGTTCGTACTTAGGGCGGGAGTATCAGCATCGCTGCAGAGGAAAGGCTTTGGAAGCGGTCCTGATGCCGCGGTAAGTCCCGAGCTCAAGCGGGAAATGGTGTGTCTGTGTGTCAGCGCAGAGCCGAGGTTGGGTTTGCTCGTCGCAATTCAATTGACTCTGTTCTGAGAATCCTGATCAGTAGGTCTTGCGAACGCAGCCAAAGACAAACGGGTTCTGATAGTGCCAAAGTGCCAGTGAAGAGTGCCTGTTAGCAGGAGGACGGACAGAGACCTCTTTCGCTATTGCATTAATATCTGTGTTCCGCTACACTGGCAGAGGAGTGTATTTAGGTGTCGCTTTTGTAAGTAAGGTGCTAATTTTTGCATGCGTTTGTCAAGTCAGTTTTTCACTCTTGGTGGTGCCTGGAAAAGTCGCTCCGGTTTTCTTGACAAGGTTTTCCGGACGTTGGTTTGCCATTGCTGCTTAGGTCAGAGAGTGACTGGCCCAAGGCTAGTCCGTTGGCTTTGTGCCTAAGGTAAGACTAGAACTCATGGTCTCCTGGTTTTTAGCCTGATACCTTAACCATTACACTAAGCTGCCTCTCAGAGTGCTATTAATGCAGGAATATATAGAAATGACTGTGGCAGTTGTGCTTTGAAGTACAGCCTATGTATGAGCTTCCTCTCATAATAAATATTTCTAACACTTAGTGAACCACCTCCACCAGTCTGGTGCCCCCAAATGTATTACGTTAGCAGCCCAATCATTTCCAGCCCAAGTAACACCAGGTTTTCTATTTGGGAATGAAATGAAAAGGGCACTAGATTGTGAAAAGCTGCTGTGAACTTATGAAGTAGAATATTCATGTGAAAAGTGATTTCCACCTGTTGGTTAGAGAGCCAAACAGGTTTTAGTTTGATAAATTAGGAAAAAGTCTTGCTGATCTTTGTAATGTTTAGGTTGAGGATGACCTTTCTTTTACTTGAAAAGGTAAAACAAAAAATGCAGTACATATACCTCACTTTGTTTCCTAGTGTGAATTGAAGCATTCTTTTCCACCTGTCTTCATTTGATAGTACTTTAGCATTGATGAGAATTCCCATTTAAATGCTTGTCCTAAATATTTACTTTTGAGACTTTATATTGTTTCAGAAAAGTTTATATATTTAGCATAATAAAAGACGAGGGTACTCCTGTTCTTTGAGTTCACACATCACATTACATCATGGTGGTTTAGCACAATGTTATTAGGATCTTCAGTAACCTATGATTAAATATATGATCCCAACTATTGTGTAAAGTTTTTATTTTTGAACCAAGCATTCCTCTTGACAGCTGCTGCTGCTGGAAACTCCATACAATAATGATGATCCATTGAGTAAACAGAACTTATTCATAATTTTCACTGACCATTAACTATCGGGGTTGGATTCATACCACATGCTATGCTAGACTATGGTTTCTGGTTTAATTTGGCAGGCAAATGTAGGTTGTGCTATCCTAGTAAGATATGCAATTAAAGTAAAAAGTGAACAACATCAAACTTGGAATTTATACAAAATGCTGCACCATAGTCTGCTTGATAATTTGGTTGATTTTGGTTTTAAATATTATGTGAACCCAGCTATAATCAACATAGGTATTCATTAGCTAGAGCTCTAAAAATGTTCAGGCACATGTACATATGTGAGCTGACACATATGTGACAGATCTCTATTAGTTCTCCAAGTAGTCAATTTTTGGTGAGTGGGAGTTCTACTTAACATGATGGAGGAGAGCTGAGGACTTACATAGGTAAGTAGACAAGATTTTTTTGTCAATCATATTTTTCCCAATATTTAATATTCAAATTTTCCATTTAAATATATCATCCCAGTATTTTCATATTTCATATATTATAGAGATACTATACTACTTATCTATCATAACATCTATCCATAACATCTTTCTAGTCAATTTATATTTCACTTCTATTTGTAAAAATTAGTTAAATCACTATATATCCTTTTTTTCAGAGTTCTTATTAAGCTTAATTTCCCCTCAATATTTCAATCATTCCTTAATCCTAAATCTTTTCAAACTTAATTTGTCTTTAAAATTCAAACTTTTCTTTCACTTACAACAGACATGTCAAACTCGTGACATCACACAACGTATCGGAGCTTTTTTGCCATTGCGGGCAATGGGGTGGGCGTGGTTTCCCGATGATGCGTCCGGCCCGTGGGCCGGCAGTTTGACACCCCTGACTTACAACATCCTAATATTTTTACATTTTGTATCTTATCAAAAAATACTATATTACTTATATCTCTTATCTTACTTATTCTAAAGTCCCTTTATGGCCAAAATTATTTGTTTATTTAGCCATATTCAAACAAGTGTTTATTCATATAATATTCCATCTGGTAGGGTGAATCCAGTCTCTTCAGCCCATCTCTAATCTTCCTTTGCCAAATTGTTTTCCAAATTAATATTTTCAACTTGTCCAATTCTTGTATTTTTGTAGTTATTGTTAGGAGTAGAGGATACAGAGTAGATAAGATGTATGCTTTTTGTCTCCCAAACAATGATTCTCCTAGCAGTGTCCATTTTGTTCAGTCTTCTTCTCAGGTTTATTTTGACGTTCTAATGCATAAGGTATATTTTCCGTATTTATTGTTGTATCCAAGTGTTGTAAGTTTTTTCTTGTTTGTATTAAGTTATAATTCCCTTCATTTGTAACTACACCAGTTAAATCATTTTTTTCTAGTTCACATTCTGTTGTCTGGATTGTTTGTTCATTTTTTACCATAGATTTAAGTTAGAAGTATAATCACTTATAGCAGCCACGTCAAACTCGTGACGTCGTGCAACGTATCGGGACAGTTTTGCCATTGCTGCCAATGTGGGATGGGTGCAGCTTCTGCGTGATGAGTTCGGCCCGCGGGCTGGCAGTTTGACATCCCTGACTTATAGTATCAAAGTTATGTTTAATCTCCTCGTGGTTTAAGTCTATTTTAGTTTGTATCTGTTGTAGCGTTGCATAAATTTCGTCTTGGAAAGTATTTGTCTTGTCTTGAAGTATTTCTAAAAGCTAAATCTTTCAGGAGTAGATATTAAGTGTGGTTTTCTATCATTTTTTTGATGTATGTCATATCCATGTTGTCTCCCCCTTTTGAGTAGTCCGTCATAAGTGCCATAGTCTCTGTAATTAGTCTTGTCAAGCTAACCAAAACTCAAAATCCATACAGTCCAATTTTGTATAGTTCTTGTTTTTATATATAATTTTTGTAATCCACTGTTATTTTCAGTTGTCAGGGTTTCAGTAAAATCAATATTTTATAACAATTCTTTCTTTCAGTAATCAATTGTCAATTCAATATATTTAGCCAGCTTAAATCCTTTCTGTAACTTCCCTTCTCAATAATTTATCATAGATCAAAGTTTTTAAATAGTTCATAAATTTAAACCACAATCAAAGTATTTCTTTTCCTTCAAACACTTTCCAATCTTATAGCTGGACCAGTATACAATCTCTTCTCTGTTCCTTAGCAATTATCTTCTTAAAGAGTTCATGGGAACAGAACTTTTTTTCTTTGTTTCTGGGCATTGTCTTTAATATGCTACATTCTCATTGTCCACTATATGTCAGCAAATATTTATTTTCCAGCTTTTTTAGACAAAAACTTATTATTTTTCTTTTTTTATGTAATTCAATCAAAATCCTTTAGAATATAATCTTAGTAGTTTGTTTTAATTTTTAAGTTTGATCAGATTGTAGTATTTTGAATTTAATTTCAATAAGGTTCTTTTCTCCTTAAAGGTTAATTTGCCGCTTCCGTCTATGGGGGAATGGGAATGTAGTCCCTTCCCCTCATTTACGGAGGTTGTTTGCTTTGGGGATCTTTCTCAGGGACCCTTGTAAAATAAGGGAGAGAAGATCAAATACTCTCATCAGTTCCAAGCATGCTGTTTACCGTTGTTCTTGATAATGCTCTTGGACTTCGGGTGCAGTAGCTTGGGCTAGACGCTGGCATGTGGTTAGCCTTTCTCCTGTCGGGTTCAGAGGGCTTTCCCCAGATCAAATGAAGCGATTGCCATCGCTTCGTGATCAACGGGGCACCGCTTCTTTGTGGTCACCTCTCTGGGGCGACTTCGGACCCATTTAGGGTCCTCCTGGCAGGGCAAAATTAGCTGTGGGGAGCGTAGGTCCGCTCTCGCGCAGCCATGTGCTACGAGCGCAAACCGGAAGTCTGACAAGATTTTTTTATTATTATTTGGCCCTGATACTATGAAGAGTTCTTATTTTTAAACTATGCTAGGTCTATTTCAGGATTTGCTGTACATTTTTATAGTTCTTTAAAATAGGGGGTACAGAAAATGTGGTCCAAAATCTGTGGAAAATCTTGCACCAAAAGACAAGAAAGAGTGGTTGGAAACTCACCAAGGAGAGAAGCAACCTAGAGCTAAGAAGACATTTCCTAATGGTGAGAGCAATAAACCAGTGAAATAGCTTACCTTCAGAAGTTGTGGGTGCTCCGTCACTGGAGGCTCAAAAAGAGACTGGATGACAATTTGTCTGAAATTGTATAGGGTCTCCTGCTTGAACAGAGGGTTGAACTAGAAGACCTCCAAGGTCCCTTCCAACTCTACTATGCTATATTCTGTGTTCAGTATGAGACTCAATATTTCAGATTTCCCAAAATGACTTGAATCAAATTCTAGATCAGTGGTGGTGAACCTATGGCACAAATGCCAGAGGCGGCACTCAGAGCCCTCTCTCTGGGCACATGCGCCGTCGCCCCAGTCCTAGGCCTTCAGTTGGGTTTTATAAAATCTTTTCGCTTTAGGCCTCGGCCGCCATGTGCAAAAAAAAAAAAGGTTCAATCAATCAGTCAATTTCAACTTCATGCGGGGAAAAAAAAGATCTTGCAAAGTTGGAATTGATTGAGTGAACTTTTTAGTCCCACCCAGTCTGCCGTTACCACCGCAGCCACGCCTACCCAATGGGCCACACCCACCCATTGGCCACACTCAGCCAATGGGCCACACCCACCCAATGGGCCACACCCACCTGGCACCCAACGATGCATAAGTGGGTTTGGGGTTGCAGTTTGGGCACTTGGTCTCTAAAAGGTTCGCCATCACTGTTCTAGATCTTGTATTTCCATTGCTGAGAGATTATGAGGTATAGTATAATGGATATCTGAAGTATTTCAGAAGCTTAATGTATCCATAGAAGTGGTGATAGTAATAATTTATTATGGTTGACCGAATTCTCAGAGTTATTCATATAATTTCTATTTTGAATAAAACCAAGAACAACATAAAATTATAACTAGGTCACTGAGGCAATCAGGGCATGTTTAATTTATAGACAGTGTAACAAATTTTAACTACATTCAAAGAAATAAAATGTACAGGTATGATAAAAGCAACTGTACCAAAATATAATTCAAAATTGTCTGAATACTTTGCGAACTAGGGAATTATGAAAGAAGAACTGGGGTTCTTATAGAGGGAGCTACAGGCCATGAGCAATGGATTCAGTGGTTCCTTTCCCACAAGGGTACTTATGAAGAGTTTTTTCGTATAGTATTTGCACTTGAGATCAGCTTTTGGAAGAATATTGAAATAGGTTAGTGTTCTTTTGAGTTTGGGGATCCTTATTTGGTTTAAATATCTTGCTGGTTCAAAAAAGCAGCTGACTACTCAGAAACACTTTCTTAGGGCAAATTGATCTAATTTGGCTTCCAAGCCTTGTTAGTTCCAGGCTTGTTAATCATTTATGATAGGTTCTGTTGAAATCATCTGAGCAAGAGTGTTATGACTTTCACATCACTGGATTTCTTGGGAAAATAAATGTAATTAAAACAGGCTTATGTATATTTACAGGGCCCTGTATTTTAAAAGGGAACAAAAGTGTTTTGTGAAGTTGTTTTAGCTTTATCAATAGAAGAAAATATATGTAGCTTAAGGTTAAATTGTGGAGTCCTTGGTGCTCTCTGAACTTGTTTGCTCATAGATGTTTCATTACCTGACTAGGTACCATCGTGGTGTTTGCTGTGGGTTTATATACAGTAGCCTGTCTTGCCAGTGTTGGTGAGGGAATGGTATTCTCCTTGGTACCCTGATCCTGAAAGCCTATGAAGAATTAAGGAAGCCTAATCAAGGAAGTACAAATGAGAAAACTATTCCCCCACTGACAATGGCAAGGCAAGTTGCTGTTTATAAACAGGGAGCAAACACCACACTCATTAGCACTGATGAATGTGTACTCAGTACACTGTACCTAGTCAGGTAATGAAATATCTGCAAAGAAAGAACCAAGTTCAGAGAACGCTGAAGACTTGACTTGATTGTCCCTTGGCAAGAATACGAGTGGCTCTTACCGTGAAAACATAAATACCATATAACTTAGCTTATTCTTTTTATACACAAAAATGTTTTTTTTTCAGTAATCCCTTTTCAAAATAATTCTGAAATCAAATCTAGCAATATAAAATCATGCTCCAAAGATGTCCTTAAACTTTTCTCATTATGTTTCATCTCAAAGAATAAAGTAAAAATATTTTGTGGAGCTTTGGCCTCGTTTACATATTTTTACATGGAAGCCTGTCTCATTGCATTCAGTAGGACTTAACTTTTGAGAAGATGAGACTAAGCTACCTCCAACACTGTTACACATTTCATTCATTCACTGTCCCACTGGGCTATTTGATCTGAATGATAAACCAGTCCTGCTTAAATAAAATGTATTTTCTGCTCCTGTAACTATATGATATAGAAGAGCAATACAAAAGAAATGTAATAAATGCTTCTCAGATTATGCTTTCTTTTTCACAATATGGCCTTGAATTGATGCCCCTTCACTTTCCCATTTAAGAAATGTCATTCCTTAAATCTGTAAAGGCCTTTGCAACTGTTGAGTTTTACTATTATTGCATAGGGGAAATACGTACCTAAAATAATTGTCTAACGGAAATGTGGCAACGTGACTTTTCTCCTCACGGTAAAGTGGTAATTTCTTGGACTGTGAATGGCTAACGAGTTCAATTATTTCCAAGTTTTCAGCATCTCCACAGGCAGAGGAAAGAAAATTTGGGTATGCTGTAACTCTGCTGCCACCCAAAAGTCTTTGACAGATTTTAAATAGTATGCTGCTTGACCAGCCTATCGTTTTTCCTAGATTTTTTTTTCAGTTTGCTATACTGTAGAGTTTAATGGGATTTTCATGTAATTTGCCATTTATCCTAATCATAAAGCTATCTTGGGCCCAGATTCCACTGTACTTTTGCTTCCAGCTTTCTTTGAAGTCCACCATAAAAACTTCCATCATAACATGCCTTAGCGTAGAATGCAAATGCATGTCCCCTACAGCATCTTTGCAGAGTGAATGTATTAATGTACACAGTGTTTCCTTGCTGCCTCTGAGATACAGAAGATGTAATGGAGTCTGCATTCTTTAAGCAATATTTAAAAAGAACATGCTGTTAAGAATTTTATCAAATTCTTTCAGCTTTGATTGTATCTTGGCAAGAATGCAAGTAGCTTTTAACATGAAAAATGTAAATACCATATACTATATAGCGTTGCTTGTTTGTTTTAAAGGCAAAAATATTTTTCATTTTCATTTCAAGCTAGCAATATAAAGTCATACTTCAAAGATGTCCATAAACTTTTCTCATATGTTTCATCACAAAAAATAAAGTAAAAACATTTTGTGGGTGATTAGCTTGGGTTTGGGCTCATAAGTGTCATTTATGCCGGTACCTTTTTGTGAGGTTTACTCTTTCTAGCACTGTGATTGTTTGGAAACAGGAAAATTGGCCTGTTTCCAATGTGATACCTGTAATGTTCTTTTCTAAAATGAAAACCCCCTGCAATTCGTGTTTAATCTAAAATTATCTTCTGATACATTTATTAAATGATTGTAAAGGTTCTTAGTTGTTTAATTGCTTTACAGGGAAAAAAAAGCAATACCTCCTTATGAAGATTTAAGGAAGTACATTGAAAATTGGAGTTATCTCTGGGAACAATAGTCTTAATGTTAATGTTAATTTAATTTGCATACCGCCCTTCTCCCATAGGACTCAGGGCGGTTCACAGCATATTAAAAAACAAATACTATACACAAAATACAAAAATACAGAAATACAAAAATATAAACCCCAATAAAAGCCGAATTAAAAACCAAATATTGCCAGCTGTGTTTCCGATTAAAATTACTTTAATTTATGTTGACCTTTCTTTCTTTAAAGTTATTTAGTCTACATTCAATAAAATTCTGATGACCACTACTTTAGAAGACAGCTGTACAATCTAAAATATTATAAATATTCAGCTTTTCATTCCTAGTATTGCCATTAACAACTGGGCATCTAGTTCAGGAAAACAGATTTTACAGAAGAAGCTGGCACGTTCCTGAATCAGTACAGTGAAAAATGCAAGAAAATATTTTCTTATGGTTTAGGGACCTGTAAAGTCATAGAGCATCTGTTCCTTAATTCAGTCATAGTCTAGCAGCACTGAATCATGTTGAGCTGAAATATAAGAATTGCTTTTTTCACCTTGAAAAATAACAAGGTAAGTTACTATGCAATTCTGCCTAGCAATGTTCATTATTAGTACTTTATAGTTAATAAATATTTTGGGTAATCTGATATTGATATCCTGTTTGTTCCAGTTGTATGCCACATGTGAGAAAACAGCACAAATGTGATCAGTTTTCAAAGCAGTATTTACCAACTTGTTCACGTATACCTGTATGAGGTTAGCTCTTATTGTAAGAAAATGATGTTTGCATGTGGTTAGGGTTAGTTAATGGGAATTACTACTAGCTACCAGTAAAGCATATTCTTAGATTAAAATTTCCCTTTGAGCAGTAATAACACTTGCTTTCCTTCTTTTGTAGTGCTAAAAGAGCTTTGAAGCTGGAAAATTTTATTCCAGAAAAAGTAAGAATATTTTTGTTTTTCTGTCCTGTATTTAAATTATTTTGTAAATTATTTTGTAGAAAATGTGTGTGTGTATAAATGAGCAACATTTCAGAGAAATCATAACTCAGTAATCAATGATAATATATATCTTAATGTATATGAAGTGATTGCGAGGGACCTTTGAAGGCAGTGCTATTTTATATAATATTCTGACTTTGTAAGAAACAATTGACTATAACTAAGGAAATATAGTGCTGTTCTTTGTTTTGTTATATTCACATCTCTCTCCAGCGCCAAATGTTTTTTTATGACATTGTTTATTAGAAATTAGCTTTATAATTGCTGAAGCAAATGCGCTGCTATCTGAATGTACATATAACAATATGTAATTATGATAATACTATAATCTGCATATTATAAACTGCAAAATTGAAAGCAAAACAATAAAGACATTTTTATGGTGAGAATGTAATTAGCTGAGAGAAGTAGATTAACATAAAACAATATACTGTAACCTTGTGATAAATTACCCATACAGTTATCACAATAAAAATGAAATTATATTTTTTCTGGGATTCTTTCTTGTTCTCCCTCCTTGGTAAAATGTGGCACTGTGGGTTTCTAAACCCACTGTGCCAAGACATATACCAGTTTATTTTCTTCCAATAACAATTGTGGGTGTTTCTGTGAAGCTAAGCCAGGTAGCTTGTGGAAGAGAAGAAATAATAGGAAATATATCAAAATGTGAATAAAATGAATCTCCAGGTTTGTCTGCATGTGCCATTTTTTTTTATTTTGCAGAAGATTTGCTATAGCCTTAGCTAAACTGAAAATCTGACTGTATTAAGATATGTCTACTTTCTCTTTGTTTGGATTGAAACAAAAGTGACAAAATAGCAATAACAATCATTAACAATGTAATTTGCAATTTCATTTTCTGTTATTCATTATTTGCAGTACATACAGCTGTGACTGTAATTTTGCATCTGCTTTCTAGGTCCGAAGGGTGTTTTTGGAAACAAGCGATTCAGCTTGAAATTATTTTATTCCACCCTAAAGCTGCTTTTTTTTCTGAAATGGAAATTTAAAAAGGGGAAAATGTTTATTTTAAGAATAATTATTTGGCGTGTTTGCTCAGTCAGATCTCTTGCTGCAGGTTTATAATTTCATTAATTTTTCAAAAATCAGAGGTGAAATTAATCATGAAAATTGGGAGAACTACCTTTTTGCTCAGAGTAAAAACTGTATTGCTAAATGCTGCAAGAAAGTGTTCAGATTACAAGACTGCTATAATATATCTCATCCAGAGGTAACTTCTGTGGGCTGTTTTGAGAATATATTTATTTATTTATTTATTATTTAAATTAATATACCGCCCTATCTCCCTTACGGGACTCAGGGCGGTGAATAGGCAATATGTAGGTGAGAGAAACTTTAATTTATAATCCTAAGAATTAAATTCTGAATGTTCTTTATTTCTTATCTCATTCTACTTTTCCTCCTTCCCCTCTCACTTTCCCCTAAATTTTGAGTAGTAAAACGGGAGTTAGAAATGTCTATTTATATGACATTTATTAAATATTGGGTTAATAATCATAATAAAAACTTGCGGCTATCAGGCCCAAGCCCATTAGACAGCAAAATCCAATTGACCAATCCTTAATGGCTTACACCTAATAGACAGAATCTTGCCAGATTAAAGCTATAGCCTTCTAACCTAATAGATATACTCCTGAGAGTTTATAGGGTGTTGCTTCCTTGAATTTCCTCCTCCTCCTCCCATTCAGTTCAGGACTGTTCAGTCTTATTTTGGGCTTCTCTCTGGAGTGTACCATCTCCTTCATGGTAAATCATGGTGATTTTGCCAAAATCCCCCCACACACACACACACTACTTCAGGTGTACATACTATTACAGCAGCAAAGAGATTTTCAATTATAAATGAGCGATAAACATTATCAATGTTTTATACACACATACTTTAATTTTTAGCAATATGGAGATGTGGAAAGGAATATGGAATTTTATATTAAATAGTCTCATGTTTAGTTATAATGTGATGATGAAGGAAGAAAAAGCAATAGTTCATTATATTCATATTCTGACTTCCATCTTTGTAATGCATCTGTTGAAGTTGAAGATTCCCTTTCTCCTGAATCATCTATAAGCAGCATCTGAGTGATTGGTGATACCTTCCTCATGATTTCATTTCATGATTAGTAGCATCATCCAATTCTGAGGTGATAGTGGGTGTGTAGTAGATTGATTGGAGAAGGCTAGGCTATTGTCAGCCTTTTTTAAAAGTTGAAATAACATCTGGAGTAAAATGTGAAAGGTAAGGTAGTAGCTTTCCTCTAAATAGGGCGGTGACAGGATGATTATCTAACAGGTTAGTTTGTATCGCACAGTCTAAATCAGAGTCAATATCAGACAAGAGAAAATCTTGCCATTGAGGACTATGCTGCTTAACTCTTGGGTCCTGCTGTAGGCTGAAGCCTATAGAAGTAATCCCATCTTCTTGGAATTGCATTGAACAGGTAAGTTGGGAAGTTAACAATGTCCTCTAAGTCAGTGGTTCTCAACCTATGGTCATTGGACACCTGGGGCTCCACAATGTTTTCATAGGGGGTCCACAAAAGCTTGACGAAATGTTATGATTTAAATATTGATTTAAGTCTTGGGGGTCTGTGGCAGCAAAAGCTATTTAGAGGGTGTCCATGATGAAGAAAAAGTTAAGAACCACTGCTCTAAGTTGTTATTCAGCTGAGGGATAAGCTATATCAGTGGGGAGTTCTTGTTAAATCTGGAGTCTGTTCTTGTTCTTAAATCTGGAGTCTGTTCTAAAGATTTATTAACTGAGCATAAAATGGATCGTTGGTGTGGGGGAGAGAAGGATGGTTACATTCTGCAATGACTATTTTAAATAATAAATAAATGTATAGGCATTCAAAGGGAGAATATGATGGTGCTTTTTACTGCAGACAAAATGTTCTTTGTTGTTTTTTTATCGGTCCAGGTGCCAGTAAAAAGAAAGAAAAATGAGCTTTTTTCACCAACAACAGGAACATGTCTACTCAGTGCATTTTCAAGCCCCACGAGTAATCATGTCAAAGAACAGAGAAATGATCTATCAAATGGTTAGTTGAACATTCTCTTCTACTTACTATGGAACTTTTCTGGTTATTGATCAAGTCAGATTCTTGATTTAGTAATTTATGTCTATAGTTACATAAATAACTATCATTTCTTTTTAATTCTCTTTAATTTTCTCTCACACACACCCCTCGATGAAATTGGATTATGAGGATAATATTGAAATCTCACTAATTTACTCAAGTCAATTTGCAAATATTAAGTTGTTAGAAATAATAAAATTGGAACAAAAAAAACCCCACAGTGGCAAAATTGTGCCCCCCCCCCAAAAATCCTACATGGATCAAGAGTTAAGCCAATTTTGAAGAAGTCTTTGTTTTGTTGGTCAAGTACAGAAAGAAAATATCATTTGGAAATTTATGGCTTAATAAGGTGACTCTGTGCCCTTTGTACATCATATCGTAAGTTAGAGCTACTTTGTAAAAAAAAAACAACAATTATACAAATTGAAGAATTTATCATATTCACTCAGTAATTCCTCTCTTCTTAGCTGAATATTAATAATAGATTTATCTGTATTCATAATCAATAGTGTGATCTATAACTTCAAAACTCCAAATATTGGATTTCCTGAATCAATCTTTTATCGACGGTATACAAAGCGTTTGCTTTTACCAACTCTGTGATTTCTAGTTTGTGTAGCACATGTGTATGTGACATAGAGATTGACTGATTTTTTCCTATGCCTGTACTCTTGAGTGAGGAAAAAAAGGAGAAATGCCTGAAGTAAAATCCCTGAACATTAAGTGTCAAAGGCAAAGGTGAGTGTGTGCTATATTTCCATGCTGTAATTAAGTATGGGCATAAGGGAGCAGTCCTTTTTCACATAAAAGAAGGAATCACATGTTCTCAGCTGACATTTAGATGGATAATTATACAGCAAAGCCTCAATAGCTTTCCTTTTTTTCAGATTATTCAAGCTGCAAAAATAATGCTGAGGAATCGGATAGTAAGCTGTTTCTTTATTCTACTCTTAATGCTAAATTAAATTTCTTACAAAGAGTGTGCACATAAATAAGTTATGTGTGTATTGTGATAAAGAATGTCATAATGCATAGTTGGAAACTGAAGCGCATATTTTAAAAATCCTAAATGATATTTTCTTCAGTGTCTCTATATCATCTCTGTTTTGACATGTTACTTGGCCTTCAGCCTGATTTAAGGCAAGGTTTTAAATAAAAATCCCTTATTGTTCCACATACCTTCTTAATGCGTGTTACACTACAGGTAGTCTTCCTATAACAACGGCAGTTGGGACCTACAGCTCCATGGTTAAGTGAAGTGGCTGTTAAGTGAAACTTCACATGACTGCACCAGACTTAGTCCATCAGTTCTGCTGTGGTTGTGAAATTAATCGACTGCGGTTGTTAAGCACAGTATCACATGGCCACAATTTGTCACTTATTGCCAGATTCTCCATGGGCTGCTTGTTGGAGGCTGGCTCTGAAGCTTGCAAATGGTGATTCTGTGGTGCAGGATTGTAAATGTGTGCCGCCCAAATTGTCACATGACCACGGGGATGCCATGATACTTGTAAGTTTGAGGACCAGTTATAAAACTACTTTTTCAGTGCCATAATAAATTTGAATGGTTGCTAAACAGGGCAGCCATTAACCAAGGATTACCTGTATTTTCTGTTTCTGATCCCACACAAACTCTAAAATCATATCCCCCCTAATATCCCTGTAGCTCTCATCCTAATGGCATTCCAGAAGGCCTTAAATAATTGGCTGTTCTCCCAGGCCTTCTGCTAGGGTGGTCAGGATTTGTTTGAGAGGGTCAGAGGGTTTGTCGTTGGTTCTTAGTATTTATCACTTTCTTATTTGTTTTTGTAACTATTACATTATGTTTTCTATTCTATTTTGTTTTATTATGCCTCTCCCAAAGTGTGTTTGGAATTGGACGGTGTCTAAATTGAATACATTAAAACAAAATAAAATAAACTAATATATGATCCCATAGCTAGTATTCTGTCCATATTAGCATGACATAATAACAGGCTATTTTACTAATTGAATTAGATTTTTAAGCATTAATGTTTTGAAAATTGATTTTAATCCCTACAAATCCATTTAATGGGTATACATAAATGCAAAAATCTGTGAGTGCCAAATTCAGTGACCAAATAGAAAGGTAATTAATATACTTTAATTAGAGAAAGCTTCATTTCTGTATCAATTATGGGGAAGGACCAGGTTTCTCAGACTAATAATAGTTATTCAGGAACCAAGAGGACACATTTTGCAAACGTTCCAGAGTATTTTTCAAGGATGTTCAGGGCATTCAGATTAGGTCCCAGTATAAAAGCCATTGTTATTCATGAATCAAACAGAAGGTCCATCTGATCGTATTTCGAACCCAATTTAAATTTGGGAATGTTGTAATCTGCAGAAAGGTTGTGTGTAGAGATCCTGCAGCCTTTCTCTGCTTCAGTTCTGCAGTTACGATGTATTCCTGAAGGAATAAAATAACAATGTTATACATTTAAAATTTTAAGTCATGACTTTGACATGCATACAATCAGCAGATCCAGTGTAGTGCAGGAAAACACTTTTAATGATATTCACATGCTACTTCACTCATCAGCCACTTCTTTTGCTTTCAGATAGCCTTTAACTCTCCCTTAGCTGGAATCATTTGGTATCACAAGACTTGGGAGCAAGCCGTGCTCAGTGGTTCGCCACCTCCTACTCATGCTCTGTGCTAAGCACTAATTTTGTTGCCTTTTCTTTTAAGCCCAGTCCATCCTGTTTCCCAGAGGGAGGCGACATAGACCACACAGTGATTATCTCTTTGCCTTATTCCTTAAGGGCAGGAGAGGGAAAATAATTGAGCCAGCAGGCTCCAGAACGAAGAGTCATATGAGCCCAGTCATGTTGTCTGTATTGTCCCTTCCTGTTAATTTGAACACGATGCAGATTGTGACATTTTAGTTTTCTAAATATAACTGTTGCGATTCTTTTGGATGAATGGTCATTGAGCTGAGTTCACGTATGAATGAATGTTTGTGGCTTATTTTTGGCTTGATCTGCCCATCCTTGTGTTAGGATAATGGGCATATACTTCTTATTCAATTTGCCATCGAGACAGACTGTAAGGATAATATTTGGCCAGAATCTCAACAGCAGCTATTTAGTTGCTTGGATTTTTATCCCAATCCTCTCCGTGACATTCTCTCTTGGCAGCTTCTGTAACTAAAAATGATAAAGCCATAATCCTAAAGCCCTAACCATTATTAAAAGAGTGCAAATAAAATAAAGGTAATTGATAACCCCTAGCAACAGCAATCCTATTACATAAACAAAATCCAGAGCCCCCCCCCCCAATATTTTGATTTTTCTCCTGAATTTAATAGGAGGGGACCATTCTTACATTGGTTGAAGACTTCTTGATACTCTGGGACAGCCACAAAAGACAAATGTCCTGTCTATTTAGCATGCTTATTACTCCAAAGTGTAAGTTTCCATTTGAAACAGAGAGGCCCGAAGGTAACTAGAACTCAAACTATGAAATACTTGATAGGTGATAACCAGAATGTGCCTGGAAACATATACATGACCAGTTCAGGACCAAAGACAGTGTTAGCTGACTTGGCGTTTGTCTGTCTGCACCCTGGCTGCCACATTTGACAAGATGAATTTGAAACCTCCAAATACTCCTTAAAAGCAACCATGTGCAGAGTGCATGACAGTAATCCAAGCATAAGGTAATGAGGGCATGAGTGACTATTGCCATAGCATCGGCTCCAAAAGCAGACTGATCCCCTCGTCAAAGCTGAACATAAGCATGCAGAACCCTTTCAAACTGCACATGTTTGTTTCCAAGTCCCCTTAAGGATTGATTTTAAACTATGTAACCAGAGAGTAAAACAGTAAGGAGAGGGAAGTATCTATGGCAGTGATGGCGAACCTTTTAGAGACTGAGTGCCCAAACTGCAACCCAAAACCTACTTATGTATCGTCGAGTGCTGAGTGGGCGTAGCCCATTGGGTGGGCGTGGTCCATTGGGTGGGCGTGGCTGCGGTGGTAATGGCAGACTGGGTGGGACTAAAAAGTTCAATCAATTCTAACTTTGCAAGATCTTTTTTTTTCCCGCGAGAAGTTGAAATTGATTTTTTTTTGCACACGGCGGCGGAGGCTTAAAGCGAAAAGGTTTTATAAAACCCAGCTGAAGGCCTAGGATTGGGGCGATGGCACGCGTGCCCACAGAGAGGGCTCTTAGTGTCGCCTCTGGCACCCGTGCCATAAGTTCGCCACCACTGATCTATGGCTTGGAACCCCTCCATGCTCTTTGTAACTTTCTTGGTTAAAGGATGGATTTGGGGTTTTGAGGAAAGAAAATTTCTCCCCTGTCTCCCTGATACAAAAAGTTCTAGTTCTCTAGAATGTTGAGTTCCTTTTTCAGATCCTTTGAGCTTTCTCTGGCTAGAGAGGAAAGTATACCCCTAACTTAAAAGCCACTGTTTGGGAATTAAACCTCTGTTCTGTAGAAAATGTTTACCCAGCTATTGCAATGAGAGTGACTGCTAAAAAGTGTTAATGTTTGCTAAGGGACTGACTTTCATAGGGTTTTCCTTACGTTGGGGTGATATTGCACATATTATATGGTGCGGTGACATTGAATTAAAATCAAAGTCTGTGTACTGTTTCCTTTCAGTGGTTTCAGAATTATGAGATAATCTTTGTGTATTCTCTGTTGAATGCTTTTTCAAACCATTTCAAATTGAATGTCTTGTTATTTCTACTTCTTTAATTCTTTTTCTAGAAATCAGAGAGTCTTCCAAAGTCCTGCCAATCCAATCCAATAGAAAGGAGCAGCATGAAATGAAAAACAATGACAAGTAAGGTTTTCTATTGGAGTAATTATCATGAAGTTCCAACTGCAGGTGATTTGGGGGTGTTCGAAGCATTAGCGCTTCTAGATATACAAATGCTTTTTTGCACTAGTATTTCCTGTGCATTTCCATGTTTTAATGTTCTGAATGACACATTCATCCAAGGGATTGGCAAGGGGGAATAAGACCCTCACTTTATCATGCGTGTCATATTTTTTTTCTTTGTATTTTATGTTATGTCATTGAAAGTTGTGAACTGTGTTAAATCATTTATTAGCTAATGGTGGTGATTGTAACCCGAATTTCCATCACAAAGTAATGACACAAAGCACAACGTCCATCACATTATTTAATGACAGAAATTTCAGCAGTCCCCATTGGTATTGTTAATTGAATTCCCCTGGTGGGGATCCACTGCAATCCAAGCCATTCCTGACTTGGTTCCTCCCAGCCCTGAACCTCAGTAAAATAAGGGACTTTCTCCTCTTGAATTCCCCCCATCTGCCTAGCTCCTCCCCCTGTTCTTTTGGCCGCCCTGCATAGTGACACACTTCAGCAGCAGTGGCAGCTCTGGGACTGAAGTAAAAGTCCAATGCCTTCAGCAGATTCAGATGGCTGTGGCTGCCTTGGGCCTTTACTTCAGCCTCAGCACTGCCAGCACCAGGGCGGAGTGCTGCCTCAAGCTCCATGCTGCAGACAGCCACCCAGCACCACAGCACAAAGCCACAGCTGCCCCCACCACCAAGTATCTACTGTACCTTGAGCTTCTACTGCACCTAGGTGACCTTTGCTGTCTTCTCTCTCCCACTGCTGCTGAAGCATCTCTGGCCTGGCCCTATGCAAGGCAGCCACTGGCCGCCCCAGCCTTCTTCCTTTTTTCCAATAATTGTATGCACTGTTCTTCAAATTGCATGTGCCCTTCTCACGATACTTTGAAAGGCCTCAACTTCAGCCCCTGTGCAGCTGGCACTATGACCACTGCTGAAGCAGCACTCAGGCAGAGGTGGGGACACCGGAAGCGCCCCTGAAGTCATTAGTCTTGTTAGTGTGAGTGAACCACCATGCCTGAATTTTGAGCATGTGACCTCAACGATACTGCAACAGCCATAACTTTGGGGACCAAGCATAAATACTATTCAAATGGTTTTTGAATAGTTTCAACAATTATACAGGATTACCTGTACTGCCTAATCCTGCAAGAAATTGTTATTCCTTCCAATGTTGTTGAACTGGATTTGGCAGCAATGCCATGCGATATGGTTGACGATGAGAGAGGTTAAGAGTTATAGTTTAGCAACATCTGTGGAATCCTCATCTTTATCCTATAATATCTGTTTGATTGTTTCAGCTGTTCGGAGCAAGCAATTGCTACTTGAGCTTTTACTTAATATATTGCTGCAGTGTAGTCCTTCTGTCAAGTATCGACCTTCTAATGGCCTTCAGAATAGTGCTGTGGTTTCCATTGTTCTTTTTCTCTGTTCTTACATCCACTGTTTACTTTCTCCTTGATCTTGAACAACCATGAATTTGGAATGGGGCTTGGCTGGAATTCTTATGTACAGCACTAACACTGGGATATCTGGGTAAGAAATACAGTAGATACTAAATTAGTATACTGAAGCCTGTTTGCAATCTTAATACAACCAGGAAGAAACCTGATGAACTAGAAATATTTTTCAGATGCATACCATAATGTAAATAGTTGCAACCTTATATGGCTGTTATTTTAACCTTAATTGCGGTAGGGAGGGGCTGCTTGCTAAAAACACAATCTTACACGGAAGGTCTAGTTTTTCTTGTTTGTATTTTGCTTATTCTTGTTTCATACCATTAATGTTGTACTTGTCTTTTTGCTTAGACTCTTGGTATTGCAGTCTGAAGTTGAACATTCCCTGGAAAGATTCCTGCGAATCCGAAAAAAACTAACCAATCTGAAGGTCTGCCATTATTCTTTTCCACTTTGTCAGATTAATTCAGTCCTCTTGATCTTTTTTCTTTATTACAGTTTAGTCTTTATGTTCTTCCTTTTCACATTGTGAGTTGAGTTCAGTAGAAATACTAAATATTCCATAGATGCATATGTGTGCTCGTGCCATCCCTTCAAGGTAGACCAGACTAGGGAACCAAAGTCATGCATGCTAATGCTAAATTCCTTATACGTTTATAGTACCAGAATTTTGTAAGTCTGAGTGCATTCCCCACTCTCTCCCTTTGTCTTTGTGAGAACTAGGGAAGGTCTTATCTGAGATGTTTGCTCAGGCTACAGTTTTGCTCTGGATTTAAATTTCTTTTCTGACTATAATCTTGATTATGGATCTTCCTCCTCTTACTTAAGCTTTTTCTTTTTGCCTATTACGCTTTCTAGAGCAGTGGTGGCGAACCTATGGCACGCGTGCCAGAGGTGGCACTCGGAGCCCTCTCTGTGGGCACACATGCTGTTGCCCCAGCCTCGCCTCCTCCGCGACCCCCTCCTCACCAGCAGCTCCCCTGGAGGAGAGTCACCCCTGAACGTGGCCCACACGAAGCAGCGCAGCCAAGGACATGGCAGCCAGGCAGCGTAGACAAGACTCTGCTCTCACGCCCCATCGTGCACAGTTGATGCTGCAGGGGGCGGGCAGAGGGCGTGGCCGCCATGGTGCTGCTGGGTTGCCTGGGCGATCTGCGGCGGGCCCTGCGGGCAGGCGGGGCGGGAGATGGGGTGGGGTGGAGCAGGGGGTAGAATGGGGCGGGGCCAGTTTTTGGGCACTCGGTCTCTAAAAGGTTCGCCATCACTGTTCTAGAGGGTCTCTACATTCTGATAAATTCTTTGCTAACAAGTTGTCCCTTTATGCATTCACCTGCTACTTCCACTGTCTGAGAGGTGCATGTGTGTAAGAGGATTTTGGGGTGGCTTTGCTCATACTTTTAATTTTGTTTAAAGTTAGTAATCATCAAAAAATATGGGGGTCACTATAAGTGAATGTGCTAAAATGTAACAGTGAAATAATTCAATTAATTATAGGTAATAATAGTAAAACGCCTTTAAAATGTGTAAGTTACCCTATTCTTTTGCAGTGCAACCTCTGATATCCTTTTTAAAAGTCTGATGCTTAGCCCCCCAAATGTTTGAATTTTGATATAATGGCTGTATATGAATTTGGATTGGGGGACATCTGAATTGAAATCACCGTTCAACCATCTCTGCATTTTCATTGGGCTATGTTGGTGCATGATATTAAGACAGAGTTATGGGGAACCCTTCATTTTATCTGATTTGCTCTAGGAGAGATGTTAAAATAATCCAAAGGTTACTCCAACAGGCAAAAACTTCAAATCATATCCAAAATGGAATTCCTGGTTTTTCAGTTTTGTAATCTATCAAATATAGCCAGGAAATTAACTTTCAGCTTCATTGGGCTGATCATATTGGACCTATTTCTAATATCACATACTAGTAACATGGTGTGCTTGTATAGTCATTATGAATTGAAAAGAGTGGAAGATTTAAGAAATGTTTTTAGGTTAAAAACCTTAGCACTGATATTAACTTTTTCCCAAAAAAACCCTGTTTTTCAGGCTTTAGAGGGCACCAGAGAGCTGGAAAATATTCTGGGTACTTCAAACAAGTCTGGTAACTTAAAAATTGAAGTGAGAAAATCCAGGAAACTGAGTAAGACGAACAGTATCTCATTCTAGTTTTTTGACAGAATTTAAAGTTTACATTTTGTAGGAGGGCTTGTAGTTATTATGGAGCTATAATTGTAATATGTACCATTTCCCCTTCATTGGTTTATTTTTTTATAACTTTTGAAGGCTCTACAGAAACTTTACACGGAACAAAACAATTACAAAAGATAAGTGACAGTAATGGTTATTTAAGGCAACACAGCTCAATCCTGTATTTATCTAGTTAAATATAGTATTAAATTTAGTGAAACTCACTCTCGTGCAAATAGGACTGTACCCTTAAATTAAAGTGTCCTGTTGAGGAAGTTAAAAATTAGCCTAATGTTTAATTCTTCACAGATGAAACGACCCGGTTTGGCATCCTAACTGTATTTCTCAACTTACTAACCCATTCATATATAAGACTGAGGGTCAAGGTTCATTTCTGAGCGTGTGGGTTGGTTTCTGAACGTTTTGTTACCTGGCTAGGTAACATATTCAGTGGAGTTTAAGGGATGACAGTGTCAGTCTTCTGTTTAGAAGGGCTTCAGGTGTGGGTGTGTCAAGTGAAGGTCACTTGATTGAAGCCCTTATAAACAGAAGAACCCTGACACTGACATCCCCTAAACTCCACTGAAGATGTCCATATGTTAAATTAAGATATATTACTGCCATTTATATAAAATTTATTAAGATTCTATTTGCTGTTTTTCTTTTTGGGGATAATATAGAAGTGTTATAAGATCTAAGTGTGATTTCCCTTCTCTTTTCCTTAAATAAGATGAGAAAACTGAAAAAACCTACAAACTGTGATAAAATATAATTTGAATAAAAAATGCAATAGTGAAAATAATAAAACATACAGACTGGATTATTATAGTCTATTAAGCATAAACTCTCTGAGACCTTGGTTAGTATTTAAAATTTGATTTTTATGCCTATAGCTGGCCTTGTAAATAAAATGGCTTGGTTTCCTGTCTACCTGAAACCCTCTGTTATCATTCTATGAGAAATATCATTCTATGTAGAAATCTGCACCTAATTCAACATTTTTTTAATGATTCCATTGGATGTTACATAACCACCATTTTATACATCAGAATCACACAAGTAGTGTTCTTGTGATATCTAAATATTGTTTCTTCTTCAGTTGAGGAAGTCAGAAAGAGAAATCTGGGAAAACTGGGTGCTGTTGGATTTGCTACTCAAGGTGAAGTTTTTATTCCTTAATATTGTATAACATTTGCTTTGCTGGCTAACTTAATAGGGAACACCATTTCTTGACACACTGTTTCACAAGGCACCATCCCACCCCCACCCCCCTTGCAGTATAATATAACTTTCTTCTCTTCCCCAAGCACTTAAACAGATATATAAAAACACATTGTCACATTTTAGGGTCTAAAAGGCAACTTTAAGAACTGTGGCATTCAACTCCCAGAATTCCCCAGGCAGCCATGCCTGTATAGGTCTTAATGTTGCCAAGGTTGGACACTCCTAGTGTAACCAAAGTGATATAGTCTAAGGAGCTGTGTTTGGTATTAGTTATTTTGCAGTTTATCAGATGCTAAGAGGCTACATATCTTGGACAGATGTTTCATTTTTTAAACTTCAAATGTGATGTTGAATTTGGTTATTTACATACCTTCCCCCTCTGGCTAATGAGGTGAAGGAAAATCTACAGCTCCTTGTGATGTTGACGTCCTTTCTTAGGGATTGAGAACCACAGAAGCAGAAGTAGCAAATCCAGTTTTCTCCAAGTAGGTGCCTAGGCACCCCAGGAGAAAGAAACATACTGCTGATGAATTGCAAAAACCTCATTCCCATTTTTTCACTTTATTAACAAGCTTTCTCAATTGGCACTCTCTCCATCAACTCCCACCAATAAGTGGTATGGAGTGGTGAAGGTAAAGTCCAATACAGTTGAAGAGACCACATGAAGGAAATTGTATTTATTTTTGTAACAGGGATGATTGGCTGGTGCAAAAGCAACTGCTGTAGGGTATCACAAACTGAACCAATTGGTGGAATATTTATTTTATATCTGCAAATGCATTGGAAGCCTTGAGTGGGACCTCTCTCTAGAACCTGGTTGTCCAATCTTTTGGTTTTCCTGCGCCGCATAGAGTGAAGAAGACAAATAGTCTTGGGCGCACATAAAATATAGTTAATGTATATAAATAACGAAGTTCCTTTATTTTTTAAATATTTTTTATGATTTTGTGGGGCCCATTACAAGCTGTCCAGAGCCGCATGAGGCTCATGGGCCATGGGTTGGACACACCTGCTTTAGAGGATCCAGAAATCAGGGACAATTTTGATTTGTATTGTAGCTTTGCTTTCACATAATAAAATGACAGAATTTACTGCATAACATTGGTTTTTGCAACCTGTTATTGTGGTCTTTAAATAAGCTGTATGAAATCCAATTTCCATGAAATCTGATAATTCTCTTACATCTTTGGAAAATTTAGTCCTACAGGATGAGCATTGATAGAATTGATATTTATTATTTACCAAGTCTGCATTAGATCTGCAATTTGACAGTTAATAGTGGCTCTTGACTATTTATTTTATTTATTTCTTTGATTTTCTAAAATGAATTTGCAACAAGTTTTTTTGTAAAGGATACCAGTGAAGTACAATTATATTCTTCCTCGCAGAGCTCTTGCATTGTCCAAAATATTTTTTTATAGAAGACGGAGCCCTTATAAAATAATGGAACTATAGGAAAGAGATCTGGAGAGGGAGGAGAAAGTTAGGAACATTTTGCATAGGTGCTTATAGCCCACCACTATTTTGAAACTGTATTGTACTTTCTGGAGGCCCTTATGCAAATGTGCAGCTTACTTAGAAGTCTTTCTTATGAAATTATTTTCCTACCAAAAACTTTTTCTTTGCAATGTTGAATCCATGTAGAAGAACCATACAGTATGTACACCTTTGGGGAGTTGCTTGCTTTTTTAAAAAAATATATGCGATCTTTATTTTAGGACTTATACAACCATGTTTGTGTTTCCCATTTTGAAAGAGTGGACAGTATGACAAAATGCAAGACATTTTTCTGTCTGTGTTTCTGTGATCATGGTCAGGAAGACTTGAGAGCAGGGGTGTCCAGCATGGCCGGTTGGGGAATTCTGGGGTCCACAAGTCTTAAAGTTGCCAAGGTTGGACTCCCCTGCTCTAGAGGCTGCATGTGATCTTAGAGCACTTCAGTTGCTATCCTTTATGGCAGTGATGGCCAACCTTTTAGAGACTGAGTGCCCAAACTGCAACCCAAAACCCACTTATGCATCGTCGAGTGCTGGGTGGGCGTGGCCCTTGGGTGGGCATGGCCCATTGGGTGGGCGTGGCTGCAGTGGTAACAGCAGACTGGGTGGGACTAAAAAGTTCAATCAATCAATTCCAACTTTGCAAGATCTTTTTTTTCCCCGCGAGAAGTTGAAATTGATTGATTGAACCTTTTTTTGTTTTTGCACACGGCGGTGGAAGCCTAAAGCGAAAAGGTTTTATAAAACCCAGCTGAAGGCCTACGACTGGGGCGACGGCACGCGTGCCCACAGAGAGGGCTCTGAGTGCCGCCTCTGGCACCCGTGCCATAGGTTCGCCACCACTGCTTTATGGTAAGCCAATGATGCAACTTTCCTGCAGAAGCAGTGATGTGGCCATTTTTCATGAGGAGGACTTTGCACAAACCCCATTCTCTCTATTAGTTCATACTGCTGGAATCCTTGGCCTTTAATACAGATTAAACCCCACTTATTACTTAACTAAGGAAACACAAGCTATTGCTATTCCCCCCCCCCCAGGCATCTTTAATTCACTGATCTTAATAAAAGCTACCCTTTTTTTTTTGCAGTGCTCTTTGGGGAGCTTACAACAAATAGGAGCCAGAACATACAATGTTTTTAGTATTCTTGACACCATGCAAGCAACATATTTAAGGGGAGTACAGTCTGTAGATGCCTGGATTTACACACACACACACACACACATACACACTTCTGTATCTTTTCTGTCTTAGCCACATCACCATTTCTTATCTTCAAATCGTTCCATGTACAGTACAACCTTGGTGCCACCCAAGGCTTTAATAATGATAATATTTCTCTAATGTCTATTACTGAGGGACTTGAGAGCACTCAACATTTATGAATACAGCCTTGCCACATTGCAGAGACAAATGAACTCTATTTTACAAAGTCCAATCTCAGCCAGGCACTTAAAAAGATGAGATGCTTAACTGCTTAGCTGACCCACCTGAAGGTTTAAGCATATCTTATTTAAAAATACGCACCTTATAGTTCTGTTTCATGTTATGCACTTCAGTGGCTTAAAATCAGGAGGTTATGAGCTGGTGAGATAAATGATCTGTTTCTATGATCCTAAGGAGTAATTCTGATCAGATTTTCACAGAGATTCTTCTTAAAGTTATCTAAGTTTGAGAGATGGAGGAAAAAGGAAATCCACCTTGAAAACATAAATATATCATGTGTTACACTGATTCATAGAAAGATTATTTAGACCAAATCTAATTCCTTGTTAGTGCCAAATCAAAATTAAAGCACCCGTCAGATGACTGTTATTTGTTCCATTATCTAACAAACTGGTTTTGCTCTTAAGAAGATTTTTTGAACATTCAATTAGGTTATGACTTCTTTCATATTAAAACCATGATTCCATATCCTATACATTGAAACACTCTTTTGTCTTTTGCTGTATGTCATCTTTTTATATATGGAAAATTTATTTATTTGATTTATCCTGCCTTCATTTTTGGGGGGTCAGTTCAAGATAATATTCATACTTAATGCGCCCACCTCCCATTTTCCCCACAAATGCAACCCTGTCACATTGGTTGGGCTGAAAAAGGGACTGGTCAGCTTTCATATCTAGGCGAGATTGAGAAGTAGCATCTTAGCCACCACAACAAACTGGCTCTCTGTCATGAAAGGCAGTACCCAAGGACACTATACTCCCAGCCTGATCCCTCCCATGGTCATCTAGGAATGTGGCCAAAGCCATCTCAGTTCCATAGTGAAACTCAACTGGAAGGGGATTACATGATCCGCTTTGTCCAGAGTCCTCTGAAACTTGCCTTAAAAAGACAAGGCAAAAAACCTTTTCTATTTCCTCAAATCTAATGGGGTCATGTTTGCTGTGGCATATGTGTGTGTCTGCTTTTTTGCTATACTGATCATGTTTACAGGAAGACTTGATCCCAAGCTCGATCACTTCTTAGTCGATCACTTAGAAAGAATTTTTTCACCATATACAGTATAGCTGTCCATGTAGCATTGTTTCCAAAATATTTGGAGATGCACTTACATAAGCTATGAGCCTAATTTTATTCTCGGTGATGTATTCACTACCTAGATACATGCGGGTAATGGATATGAATTAGGAGCAAAACCTCCGATTTATGCAAGGACAGGAATGTGTGTTTTCTTTCACAAAGTTTGGTTAAAGGCTAGGAAGATCTATCTGTCTATCCTCACAGGCAAAGAGTGAACTGAGAAGACAGCTAGTTCCCAATCTTGTGTCTTAAAACTCAAGGCAATACTTCCTTTTTCCCTGAGCTTGAAGTCATTTCGCATTTCTATTGATATCTGAAATCTCCGTAGCTCAGCAGTGTGTTCTTGGTGCCAGACAGGCAGCCACAGATCTTGATCAAATAGATTAGTTTTCCCTTGTGGTTATGATTTAGTTTTTAAAAGAAACAGAAAAAAGGACATTTCAGCAATGAAGACTTAGCTTGCTGGGTGTCAGATGTGTTGAGTGGAGTTTTCTCATTCTTTATTGTTAACATGTACTGAATGTATAGCATTCTTGCCTCTTCCCCCCCCCCCCAATATCTTATGCTACGTGCTTTGTGTCTGTATATAGAAATCTTTAGGATGGACTTTTCAGTTCTTAATCAAAACATATTTAGTAAATGGTGTTGCTGTTTAAAAATTACTTTAAAGATAGGACTACCACAGTAGCAATTTTACGCCTTAACTTAGAATGAAATGTAGTTTATTAGAGAGTCCAGCTATGTAAAGCAGGAATGAGCATGGCCCAAAGATTGAACGCAGCCTCTGGTTGATATACGTGGCTTGCTGAAAATCTCATAACTCTTTGTAGTTCCAGGCAAACCACTAATGCATGGCTGGTTGGGGAATTCTGGGAGTTTTTCTTCATGCTGCCAAGGCTGAAAAATACTGCACT